AGACTTCCATTCGTAAACATTCCACTTCATCTGTAAACACCAGATCTCCTAAAGAATACAACAAACTAATTAATTACTCTGTTTTATAAGCTGTAGACTTCCATTCGTAAACATTCCACTTCATCTGTAAACACCAGATCTCCTAAAGAATACAACAAACTAATTAATTACTCTGTTTTTCAAGCTGTAGACTCCCATTTGTAAACATTCCACTTCATCTGTAAACACCAGATCTCCTAAAGAATAAAACAAACTAATTAATTACTCTGTTTTACAAGCTGTAGACTTCCATTTATAAGCATTCCACTTCATCTGTAAACACCAGATCTCCTGAAGAATAAAACAAACAAAAAGGGAATAACGGTTCATTAATACCTTATTCAGAACATAGAGGGATTAAATTGAGCATTTTTATTACGAAAATAACAATAAAATTTTTCTTCAGTGTATATATTATTCTAACGGTTTGTTAGTTTGTTTGTAATTAAGCACAAATATACACAATGGACTATCTGTGCTCTGCCCACTACGGGTATCGAAACCCGAATTTTAGCGTTGTAAGTCCTTAGACATACCGCTGTGCCGCTGGGGTGGCTTATTCTAATGAAATACGAATTTTGTGTAAGAGGGCGCCATATAATAATCAGATAAATGTTATGACCTGCTTTTGCTTTAGGGTTTTGACATGGAGAAGGTTTCAACCCTCTAGTATAATGCAATGTTAAGAGAATTATAATATTTATCTGTTCATTGCAGTAATGTGAACAAATAATTAAATCATTAAGTTGTTAGTGGATAAATGGGGAAAAATGCATGCTAATAATAATAGTATTAATTCTTAAAAATAAAGAAAGAATGCACAAAAGATAATTTATTCAAAGCAATAGCTGCGTCTTAGATGGTAGTCATGGCATTGACATTATAGGTAGGTAGATCTAGAGAGTACAAACCTATAATGATTTATATAAGAAAGTTTGTTCCCAGCGTCTTAGACACGTGCTGCCATCTCTTAGTACATATTCGAGATTAAGTGGCGAGGCTTAGACAGGTTGCAGAGTAAAGTTATCCTATGTTTAGTAGATAGTAAGAAAATGAAAAACAACAACAACAGTATTGGCATGGTTACTTGTTAGTTATTCTAACGAAGACAAAATATTAAATCGACTTAGAAATCAGATCGACTTAAAATGTTACACATTAAGCAGTTCAAACTTAGAGCTAGTTACGAATAATTAGAATAAATGTAAAGGCTTCTAATCAATTAATGTATATTGCATAATTTACTCAAAATCAGTCCAAACTGTAAACATTACTAGCAACTTCAGAATGTAAAAAAATATTTTTACATATTTAATAGCCATTTTTTTTTATAGTATTCATAATTAATCATCAGGTATAGAATTGTATTACGGACACTTAGCTATTCTAATCGAATAATGGGTTTGACCGTCACTTTTATATCGCACTCCAATTGTGAAGAGCGATGTCGTGGTAAAGGGACGCGAACCATGCACGCTTAAGATAACAATCCGGGACCCTAATCACCTGCCAAAGCCCATGCCAGAATTGGTGTGAACTGCCACCAACACTTACACTAAATGGTGTCCGTTTTAACGTATTTCCTGTTTATTTACTAGGTGTAGATTAGGATGGTGGATATTGGGCTGTGTTTGTTGTAACGTATTTCCTGTTTATTTATTAGGTGTAGATTAGTATGGCTGACACTGGGCGGTGTCTGTTTTAACGTATTTCCTGTTTATTTATTAGGTGTAGTTTAGGATGGTGGATATCGGACTGTGTCTGTTGTAACGTATTTCCTGTTTATTTATTAGGTGTAAATTAGTATGGCTGACACTGGGCGGTGTCTGTTTTAACGTATTTCCTGTTTATTTATAAAGCTTAGATAATTAGGAAACTGGGTGAAGAGATTTTGTTGTTTGTTGTAATATTACGAACACTGGGCGATGTCTGTTTTAACGTATTTCCCGTTTATTTATAAAGTGTAGATAATTAAAATACTGGGTGAAGAGATTTTGTTGTTTGTTGTAATATTACGAACACTGGGCGATGTCTGTTTTAACGTATTTGAGGTGTAAACTAATTTCACGAACAGTGGATGGTATATTTTAATGTGTTTGCTGTTTATTTATGAGGCGTAAATTAATATCACGAACGCTGGGTAGTGAGTTTGTTGTTCATTTATGAGGTGTAAACTAATTTAAGGAACACTGGGTGGTGGATGGGTGAAATGACTTTATAGTTAAAGTAATTTATAAATTGTGTAGAAACCTATAGAAAGAAAAATAATTAGGGAGTTCAACCCCCCTTAAAAATACGATTTCCTTCTATGAACTTTGTCAATAATGTATGTTTGTATTAAGAATGTTTACGGTTATGTACTTAAACAATAATGATTATCACCACAAGTTACGTGTTTCACTACGTTGATGTATGTTTGTATCAAGCATGTTTATGGTTATGTACTTAAACAATAATGATTATCACCACAAGTTACGTGTTGCACTATGTTGATGTATGTTTGTATTAAGATTGTTTTTTGGTTATATACTTAAACAATAATGATTATCACTACAAGTTACGTGTTTCACTACGTTGATGTATGTTTGTATTAAGAATGTTTAGGGTTATATACTTAAACAATAATGATTATCACCACAAGTTACGTGTTGATGTATGTTTGTATTAAGATTGTTTTTTGGTTATATACTTAAAAATAATGATTATCACCACAAGTTACGTGTTGCACTATGTTGATGTATGTTTGTATTAAGAATGTTTATGGTTATGTACTTGTTTGTTTGTTCAGAATTAAGCACAAAGCTACACAATGGGCTATCTGTGCCGGTAACAGAAATCACCCCTATCGCCACTATTTTGGCTGCTACCTCTTTGTACAAAGTCACCCTGACCATCGCACAGTGTATACTATGTTTCAAGTATACACATAGTGAGTTCTTAAAGCTTATACGAAACTTTTGGTGAAATAATAATGAATACTATAATAATAGGTTATGTTATAAATATATTATGTGAAAGTTATGACTTTTGCGTTACGTATCATAGCATCCATCCCTCACATTTGTTTAAGATCATAACCCGACGGGTACCTCAGCTTATGAAATATCTTCTACGTTCTTTCTAGAATGGGCTGGTAACAGACTTTGAATGGAAACACTGTATTTGGATTCTAATCCCTTAAGCAAATTAGCAAGAGTTCTAATGGTATTTTAAATAGTCGGATCTTTCAAGGGTCACTTACGTAGAAAAGTTTGTGATGGCTTGAAGCTTTAACCTAACTGGAGCTATTGTTGATAGACTTTATCGACATACCTAACTTGTTTTTTTTTATGTAAGCTAGAGGTCGCTGTTATCGATCAACTTTTCCACAGATGAAGAAGTCAAGTAAGAATAATTTCCCAGAAAGGTGGCCGAAGTCCGCCTAGAGGGGTCACCTGTTTTAACTACTCGCACCATTATACAGTAGTGTGTTGTCTGTCTGTCAGTCAGTAGACACTAAAATGACGCCACAATTTGTACTGAGGTGGCTTCTGTAAAACGTGTGCATGCCATGAATCACGAGAAGAATTATGCACTCTGTAGGCTACAACACAGCATGACACATGAACTTCAAAAGCAAGAAATAAAAATTTTTGTTACTCTTAATTTTGGTTTTCTTTACTTCTTGAAACAGAACATTTTTGGGACTGTGCGGAAATACATTTATTTGTAAAACTAGTTTGTTTGTATGACTTTCCATTCAGATTATATACCAGAAGCAGCGTTCTTTTCTGACACAGGTTATGTTTTCGTAAAAGTGTTCTACCATCTCTACGTCCAGATGCATAGTTTATTACTGTTAATGAAAACTTTATTTTATCTAATCATTGTTAAATGACAGATTATATTGCATTCTCGTTCATGATGTGACATAAGTTCAAGATAAGTACAAGTGTTTCCTAATTTATAGAATTCCTTTTTGTATATCCCATTAATTAAAGGAACTGCACAGTACATAAAAACCAACGCTCTAAAGTTGTGTAAAATTTTCAGCGATCAAGAAAAAGAGACTTATGATGTTTTAAACAGGAATACAATGTTAGTGGCTTCTTTTGGCCGCGTCCCCTAGCGAGACAGCCGTAAGTCTACGGACTTGTAATGCTAAAATCTGGGGTTCGATTCCCTGTGGTGGACACATAATATAACCCAGTGTGACTTTGCTATAAAACAAACGCGCCCCCCCCCAGTGGCACAGCGGTATGTCTACGAACTTACAACGCTAGAAACCGGTTTTCGATACCCGTGGTGGGCAGAGCATAG